AGGCAAATGTATTGAAGAATCCTACTTTTAATTTTCTTTGGCACTCCAAATCATAGTTATTAAATTCGACCGAACTCCCATGTCGAGAGAGTTTTTCAATAAAATTTCTGACAGAATCCTTTAAAATCTCATTCAAAATTATTTCTCCATACATTGGATTGGCCTTCATAATTGAATCAACAAAACCATTTGATTCATAGCTTAACAAAGAGACTAGCAAAGGGCAAAGGAAAACCATTCAAGCAACAGTATAAAACCAACGCAATCCTTCTTAACTTTCAACTCTCCTTAAACAACTAACCACGGAAAGTTTCTTCTATCCTCTGGCCATTATTCCCAGATAACGCCTTTTCCATACGCTCCATAAAAAGCCATTAATTTTTCTTTTTTTTTTTTTAATACCAAAGGGATGAAAGAAGATAGTCCTAAAATCCAGCTGACCCAACTAATGAAGAGTAGGAAGCATTTTCATCAGCTGTAGGAGTCTGTCGAACAATCTTATTCAATTCTGCGTTGGTAGCTTTTAGTATTTGTTCAGTTTTTATATTGGCCATATCACACAACCGTAACCTTCTACTCTTTGCTTCTTCAATATCACCTTCCCAGCAAGTCTCGGTAATAATTTCAACGGCTTTATCTACTTTGTCCTCTGACATTAGATTTACATTTTCCAGAAGGACTAGATACACTTGTTCCGCAGCAGACTTTCGAATCTGGGAAAGATATTATAAACTTGATGAGTATACTTCTCACGAGCAAATAAGCAGGTTTCATTTTAGTGTCAAATATTTAATAGAGCATTTTCTTCGTTGTCAGAAAAATGTTTGGAATATATAATAAGCAAGTGGCAACTATGTTACAGACCTTTGGATAGCGATGCTCAAGGAATGAAAGAAGTTGAGAGAATGCCCGGATGTTGATAGGCTCTAAAATCGAAGCAATATACCCAAGTACGGCAATTCCTGCACATAACTTTGAGAAGTCCTTTGATCTTCTCAATTCGATAGCAAGAGAATCCAAAACACCAGCACAGAAGATGGTAGTCTGGGCCTGAGAAATCAGGCATAAGATCGCATCAATGAAAAGATAAAAGGGCAGTCAATCATGCATCTAAGTTCAAGCTACCAGTAGATAATCAAGTCGAACCATGTCTGAGAGATTTAAAAGTTAAAACTGCAATTTACCTCCTATGGTTTCAAGAGCTCGCAGATTAATCCTGTGGTGTAAAAATAGGCTACCTCATCGTGTTAAGAACCATGTTAATAATACACTTTTTTCAATCAACTTGGACTAATGGTTTTAGTTTTTTCTTCACGGGAATTGACCACTGCAGATATGATGTTCACTCCACAAGGGAAAAAGAGAGGAGAAAAACTTAAAAACTGTTCGGCCAAGTTATCGGAAGATGATAATCAGCAAGGTTACAGGAAACACAAGATGGCGAATTCCGTAGTACCAAAAGTAGGAGTAATCAGTAAGTTTCCGAAAAAGCAAGAGGACGAGGAGGTAATTTGCAAATTTAAGATTATAAAACCTACTTTTCTTAGAGCAAAGTGTTGTACTATCATTGATGAATAATGAATGGTAATGTTTACTTGGGAAGAAACACACAAGTCCACCACTTCATAACATTTTGACTAGATTTGGAAAAGAAACACCAAGTCACTTTATGTGCATCAACTAATATAAAAGAAATCTTACAAAGAGGCTATAACAGGATTTCTCTATCTATGATGGCATGGAAAATTAAAGATAAAGTACAACCAGTCCATTGATTAAATAATGTGCCTGAGCTACTGATTGACCTATTATAAGCTGAAAATCAGAATATGAGGTAACAGATGAAGGTCTTATTGTAAAGGCGCATGGTAAACCAATTTATTACAAAATCAAAGAAACGCGTTGTCTGTTTAATTAGAAGCATTTCACCTAATTCCCAGAGTTACAATTATCAAGTGAACAGAAAATAATCCACTATCAAGTACAAAGGCAAAGGAATAAACAATATTCAACTTTGCAAGAACTAAAAAGAATGTACTAACCTCCATGTTCAAAAGTATCTTTTTGCTGAAAAGGATCTCAATAGTCTGAAACGAAAATACATATTATCAGCATAATTTTCAGGAAATAATGGAAAAAACCCAATCAACCGGTCATAACATTTTCAAAAGATTATTAAACTAAAAATAGCACTTTTGGAAATTTTTACTTCCAAGGGTAGCAATTACTAAGCCCTTGTTTGTCTCTTATTCTTTCAAAACTCTTTTTCCTACATACTCATTTTCAACTACACATTTCTACACGTAAATCCAAAACTTTTTCTTACTTTTTAACCACACATTTTCCAAAAATTCACTATTCAAAACAATGATTTTCCAAAAAAAAACAAAAGAAGGCCACCAAACAGAGGCTAAATGATGGCCATCTTCCTTGTAGAGAGTCAATTCTCAAAAAGAAAATTAAGTCTTCAACCTCATGTCAACAAGAATAGGAGTTCTTCCTAGCTCTCACATGTGCGCATACTTCGCTTCCAGAACATATTGAGTGTCCTATAATGCTATAAATCTTACACCCTTTATTTTAGAAGGGACCCATGGGTTCCTTCAAAAATCCGTAATTTCTATCCACTTCAAGGGAAAATGAATTACTAGAGGAAAATGCAGAACATAAATTACATAATGTTGTTCTTTAACCATCAAAAATATTATTCCATTCAATTTTTCAAATTGTACTTCCAAAACTTCCAAGAAAATTAAAAGAATAATAGTAGAAATCAGTGAAGCTTAATTAACAAAAAAAAAAAGAAAAAAAGAATTGCATTATGGTCCCATACTTAACAGTATTCTTATGTAAAAAATTCTAAATATAATAAACTATTATAACGTGATTTGGAAGCAAAAACCTGGGGCATTTAGCCACAGCGCCCAAGTTCCCAGACCCTATCTGTGTCTTTCACGTTTTACCTCATTCCATAATCAAATAGTCACAAGAACATGTGACCAAAGTAAGATGCATTATATCTTAGTCAACAGAATAGCATCAGACTATTTATTCCACTGCTCAAACAAATTCCAATATTTAAATTTTAAAAGAAAGGTTCACATATAAAGTAGATGGAAGTAAACCAATCTACAGGCTTTCTTTGCTTTGTAAAACTGATGAAATTAAGGTAACACTTACCTTTTGCTGTTGAAAAATTAAATCTACTAATTAATTTCCAGAATGCCAGCAAAGTAAATGACAAAATCCATTGCTCTTCTGAAGCAAAGAGGAAGTGAATGAGAATGATCTCATGTACTACAATACGATCAACAGAGCTTAAAGACTGAGGAATCATTGAGCCATCAGTTTTATAATCAATTCTCTTACGTTATTATCCAATAAATAATCTCAGTACAGATAAATGTCTGAAAACTTTCCCAAATGACTGATCATCCAGGCCTATTCTATTTTTAAAAAAAAATCATCTTTAAACTAATTAGCACTAAGAAAAAATTGAGTGAAAGAAAATACTACTGCATTAAGAGCAGAAAAATCATTTTAGACAAAATTCAGCATAGGTACTGGAAAGAGACTGAGAGCATGCTTGGGAGTTGTTTATAATCAGTTTAAATTATTAATTAGTACATAGAAATAAGTGATGGCTAAGTGGGTACTAAAAGTGAGTCCTACGAAACATGTGGATAAAAAGTAATTTGATCGATTATAATAGTTCATTAACATGGAACGACAAATTTTCTTGTGATTTATAAACTAAACACCCATGAAAAATCCCATTTTCTTCTTAAGAACATCTAATAGAAGCGCATATTTTTTCGTAACAACAAAAATATGTTAACAATTACATTTACCAATTCTTTGGTAGCTGTTGAATGTTCAAAATCACATGCATAACCCCAATCACGAAGATAAGCAATGATAATCATCAGTTTTGGTGTAATTACCTTCAAAGTGGGTATAATGACTCTGTCACATCTTTCATACTTTTGTAGAACCCATAGGATATCAGTTGACAGAGTGAACTCCCTGGAGTTGTACTGCCCTTCAGTTTCAGTACTTTGAAGATAGTCTAACAAAGCACTGAGCGATGCCTTTCTCAAAGAATCTTGTAGTCCGCCAATAGAAATGACCAACCCAGATATTATGTATTTACTGTAGCAATTAAGCCGAAGTAGTTGAACAAAACGAGGATATGAGAACGTAGGTACCTACAGTGAATGTAGAATCATCTCATTTGTCAAGACAGTAAATAATCAGTATCTTAAAGGAGATTTCACTAATTTAACATACCCCCCACTTAATGTCTGCTTCATTAGGAACTATGTTTTCTAGTTTTCCTCTGTATGGTATGTATGGTACAAAAATTGCTTTGTTGTACAAAATTCTTTGGAGTACCCTTGCCGCTGATTCCCTTATTTTATCCATCTTTTCTACAGCTTGCTTAGCTATGCCTCCAACTAAATTGGTTGCCAGGTTTGCATCAAAAAATGATTTGATCTGGTCATTTTGCACGTTCTCTTTATCATGCAGCTCTGTGATAGAATTAAATCCTTGTGATCTACAAGGAATATCCAATGACTCTCTCTTGCATAGAATGTATGTACATCTTTCAAGGCCATCCATTGCAGCCTCACGAACCCAAGAACCTACATCGCCCCTGTTATCAACAGAGTAATCATCCAAAGCTTTGAAAAGGCAGCACATCACTTCTCTTCTGATGAAAAGAAAGAGAGAAATGCCGTCTTCTTCGGAAAAGAAATCAGAGAACTTTTCTGCATCCGTTAACGTTTCGCAAATGGACACAAGTGCTTTGACGGCATTCACACGTGCTTCAGCATCCCTATCTTCAGGATTATCCTGCATATATGCAAACTGTTCAGTCAGAGGAGGAAAAGGGGGAACGTATTGGAGGTTGGTAAAGAGTTTCACACTTATGCCCCCTGTAGAGAAGACAACTAAAATATACCTCAACTGCACATGAACTACAAAGCTTCGATAATACAGGCTTCCAGTCTCTAGCCAGCAACTGAAAAGGCAAAACACCCAGTCCTAGTGCAGATCCTCGTCTTGAAGCCACATTAGGATCGGTCAACTGCTCAAGGTATCTTGTCGTGATATTATTCACACCTTTGCTTTCCATAGATAAAAGGTAAGCTGGAACATAATGTTCCAGGGCTTCAAAAGCAGCTTTCTGCACATTCCAGTTTAAATGTGATTCGAGAGTTCGACATTTAAAATGCGCTCTAAATAGAGTTTGTATAGCAAAGAAAGACCTGTATATGAGAATTAGGATGTCTCAAATTCTCAGCAAGTGTATCAAGTAAACTTCGTTTTATTTTTTCTGTCAAATGTAGTTGAACTCGGGCAATGCATTCAATGAAGCGAGAAACAGCAGAACGCATTATTTCTCCTCCTTTTCCACGATAGAGCCTTGCTTTCTCAATGGCAGGAACCATATTAGCAACCATTTTCTGCTTATCTGCAGGAGCAAAAGTAAAGTTCATCACTAACATTAATGAGGCGAACATTGTTTATAAAAAAAATCACCAATTAAAATAATTGAAACAAAATAATCCACTAATTATGACCATTTTTTTCTCATCAAGGGTCATGATAATCAGCTTTTAGCTGCCTTACATAAGTGAGGCTTAGTTGAATTACAAAATGACCCACAGTATTATTAGATTACAAAACATGAAAGATATTTCTTTAGTCCTTCATAATTAGAAACTAGTAGTTGCATTGATCTCACGCTATCAACCATTTATCTATAGTTTCGTTAGAAACAGTAAATAATGGTATTTATTGATCTCAAAATAAATATATACTTGGGGATAACAACACTTTGTTTCAAGTGAGAAGTAGGAGCAGTTCTTTTCTCGTAAAAAAGACTCGGAAACCATTTAAATAGCACATACTGCAATTCTTATGATCTCTTAGAATTGAAATACAAAAAGCATCAGCTGTAATTCCTATTAGCTCATTATAAATTGAAAAGAGTATTAGTTACCAACCTGTTGATAGAACATAGTTGCCCTCGTGCAGAGCCAAAACCACCTCACCAGTAGCTAAGGTTGCACCATGCCGCATGCATAAATCAGACGACAGAGTGCAAGGAATTAATTTCTCCAAAACCATGTTGGCAAAATATTCAGGCTCAAATTTCACAAGCGATGAGAGAGCATTCGCAGCAAGTTCTCTCAAACTTTTGTCCTTTATGTATCAACATAAACTATGAAACCATTACTAAAACCAACCAATAACAAGAAGATAGAAGAGTACATGCCTTTTTTATAAACAAATTGTCATAACAGCAGTCATTGCTCATTACTAAGATTACATGAGCAACTACTGTTCAAGACATTATTTAAATTATGTAACTGTTACCATATCTAACGGCTTAAACTTTTAAATTAAATGGTTCACCATGCTACCAGAGCAAGCAAAGGTCTTGGTCCAATTCTCGTCGCCACCCATTTAAATGAAAGTTTGCACGTGTTAACCTTTGACAGAAAAAATATTAATCCCGGACATGTGGGGGATGTTTTGAAAAGAATATTTAAACGACATACATATTACCCTATCTAATAGCCCAAGTTTTTAAATCCACTGGTACTACAAGAACTTTCACACCATGGAGCGAAAATTAATAAAAAAAAGTAATACTATTTAGCCCAACTGGGGTTATAATTACAGTCTATGTGGTGCTAATGCAACATTAAATGATAAGTAGAATTAAATCGATCATTTAACTCCACCTTTCATTTAGTCTATCACATAAAACCACACCGGTGGGGGTAAATAGCATATATTTAATAAAATAGTAAGGGCTAAAAACAGTAACAAATTCACATCATCTTGATCACGAAACAAAAAGAGAGGGTATAGAAAGCAAAGAGCAACTTCCAAAATGCCATATTTTATTACCTTCCATTCAATTTTTTCTTCTTTTAGGTTTCCATTTTAAGGCTAGCAGCTGGAGTGATTTAGAGAATAGGCATTAATTAGACAATTGATGTTGGGCGGTAAAATTGTGGCATATTGTCACGACCCGCTCGATTCATAACAAAGATAGCGGAATTATCTAGAACAACAGCATCTTGAGGCGAATCCAGAATGTTCTAGATAATGATGGTACATGAAACTGCCTAGAAGGTAATAGAGAAATCTAGAGAATTGACAAATCTAATACTTGTGGATTATTCTAGATAATCCTAGATAATCCTTTGTAAAAATTTTATTATGGATGGTTGTAGAGAATTCTAGAGATGGATTGTAGACCGTTGGATCAAATTGATCCTAGCCATCCATTAGGAACCACTTTGCCTATAAATAGCTTGTAGGTTCATTCATTTGCTCTAAGAGGGAGTGAAGTTGTAAAGTGTTAAAGCATTGTAAAGTTTCTTTGTTCAATACAAAGCTTTCTTCATAAACACCTGTGTTCCTCCTTTGAATACTTAAGTGTTCTACTTGGTGCCGTTCTAAGACCTCAACGCTAAAGTGGAAGGCTGACTTAGTGTAAAAACCGCAGGGGCGGAAGTTGGAGACACTAGGTGCCGCACGGTGCTTGGAGAAAACAACAAGTCCGTGACAATATCCTCCCCAAAAAGGAAAAAGAAATCAATAATAATGTTAGATTTGCATATAAAAATTAATATAAGGCAATATCAATGCATTTCTTGTCCAAATTATCTTGATATCTCAGCAATGAACTTGACTTGGCAGGAATATTTGCCACCTAAATGTCTAAGTGTTTAAGAAACAAGTATCTCATACATATAAATGGACTCATCAATATCAAGATGAATCCCGCTATAAGGAAACCATGGAGGATTACTTCATCTTTATTCAGAAACTTGAAGGAAAAATTGCGACTTAAGTAACCAGACACACTGCCCGGGCTTTACCACCCAATTGCCCAGGAGGAGTGAAAAGGCATAAAGAAAACAAAAATACTGAGTTCAACCACCAGATAGTGTATATCTTTAGCAAGCTCAAAGACAAAAGAGATTTAATTGACAGGATCCTTTTTTGAACTTCTATTCTCATCAAGGTGGCCTTGTTTTATTTCACATTTATCGCTTAAGGCTTATGACTTTTCATATAACCATTTTCGATACAAATCCTGAAGTAGATCCAAAAGCCAAATTTTGCAAGAAGTAATTCTCTAACTGAAAATAAGGTAGATCTTTCATTGATTGCAGATTTGATAAATTATGAATAAAATGCAAGAAGTGAGTGTTGATGATGCAAAGGTTTAGAACCACCTCATCTAAAATTTTACATTGCTACCTAAGTGAAGAGTTTTTATCTAGATTAATATCTTCTACATGCTGTCTCATGTGCATACCAGATTACTTTTTTTCATCAAAGACCTGAAGGAAAACTTACTTATCAAAAAAAAAAAAAGACCTGAAGGAAAACTTTCCAAGTTAGATACTTATTTTAAGAAAAGTAATTAGGGTTTTATTTTATAGTTTTCTAGTATTTTATTAATTATTTCCTACTTAAATTAGATTAGTTGAAACACTATATAAAGAGGGATTACGCGTTGTAATAGTTAGACTTGATTATTGAATAAAAATATATTTCTTCTTGTTCGATTGTGTTCCACATCAAGGTGACATGGAAACTGAATCAACGACATTTGTTTGCTTTGACACCATTTTAAATAGCTTCATCTAAAAGTTTAAATGGTTATGTATGTAAAGAATTTATTTATTTATATTTAACATTGAAGATTGAAATATTATTCCATTGTCGTGCCACCAAACCATCATAAATTTCATCTAATCATAACAAATTTATTTAAAATCCAAACCTAATTTTTGACCCACAACATTTAAATAAAGATAATGGTGTGCAATAATATTAGTGGTATGCAAAATAAAAAATAGAAAGTAAGAACAAAGCTGCATTAATTTTTACTTCTAAATGTTGAATAAAATATGTTGAAAAATTTACCTAAATGATGGCATCAGTTCACTCTTCTGAATACTCCAGTCCATAAAACATAGTTCAATTGAAAATTCAAAGAACTAACATTATAACTCACTGTGAATAATAAAATAGAAGCTGGCATGGAGTCCAGATTGAACATACCCAATGAGAAATCTTGCTGTGCATCAGTTCATCCACAAATGGATAAAGGTAGCCATCATATTGAGCAATACCAAAAGCAACATGAAGATATGAATTTACACGAGAGGACAGTGCAAAATAATCAGCCATATTTACTATATCAATGCCATGGGGAAAATTTCCTTGTCTCCCAACATTTTCCTGGAAAGCAGCAGCGGCTGCTCTTCTGCAATTAACCTAAGCATTATGCTTAAACCTTCAGCATCATAGTAGATAAAAAGGAAAACAAATGCAAGAGGAACTATCCGTTCCTGAAAAGTGAAAACTTATGCAAGCACCTCACGGTCATAGCAGGCCACGACTAAAAGGTGTGGAGCTAGCTGTTCCAACACACTCTTCATGTCTCTGTGATAATATGAACGACCAAATGCCCAACAAACATAAGCAGCTGCATCACGTACATGAGATCCAACACTATGTGGTCCTCTTCTAACATCATAATGTAAAGCCTGTCCAAAGAATTTCTTATCAAACCTCTATAGCAATAGATTAGTAAAGACAAGGAAAATGTATCTAGTAGCCAAAGCGGACCCAAGTCTGCAAGTCAAATGAATCAACTCATAGAGAAACAATCAAACTGCAGGGAATGTGACAAAGATCTTGAAGACACAAATTGCTAGGAAACTTTCACACATAAAGAGGAAAGGAAAAGTTGCAAATAAAGTTCAATGAACAATACTGGTACTTTACTGGAGACATACTGATGCAACAATACCAGGTCCATGTTATTTTCTTTTCGCTTCTTCTTAATTTCTCTTTTCTAATTTTTCCTTTGCTTTATTTCTTCTGTTTGTTTTAAAAATTAAAACTTCATCATAATATGGGTTCTCCTTGCCTTTTTCATTTTTTTTTTTTTTTTTGTGGTTGTTTTTTAATTTTTTTCCTAAAATCCTCAGGCATGGCCCAGGAACTGTGTCCAGTATAATTTATATCAAGCACAATAGTCATACGAAATTTTATCCCTCTACAACAAACAACAAAGCAAATAAAGCCCAAGATCCAATTCTAGAGCATTGGGTGTGAGGGGAATGTAACAGAACTTCCTAGACAGAACAAGCATTGACCAAGAAGAGCTATAGCAGAATTTGTGAAAATTTGCGACCTAGAACTCCTCTAAACAGATTGAGTAGTGATGCAGTGGAGAGAGAGATCCAAGTAGCATGCAGTCCAAACTATTTTATTGAAGAGAAAGAACCATCATCGTTGGAGTTTAAAAAGGAAAAATATTAGAGACCACTAATAATGGGCAATGCAAAAATGTAATTGTCAAATATGCACGCTGATTGGCAAACAAAAGGAGTACAAGCTAAATGAATTTTTTGAATCCTTAACCACAAAGAAATGATAACATATAACCTTTATAATGACAGGAACAACTTTAGGGAAACTGATTGGTAAAAGCAATCCTCTACGTGCCAGTTCTGCCAATGCCAAGCATCCACCATGCCAGGAACCATCTCCCTACAAGAATACATTAATGATGTTTGAATCAGAATAAGCAAGAAATCTTGGCTTTAATTCTCAAGGTACTTCAAAAAAACTTAGCTCTGAACTAGGTAGGAGCATCATCCTCTTACCCAATAATGTCGATCGAGCTCAAGGTGAACAAGATTAAGTGAGCACGTGCAAATCTTATAATTATGTGAATATTATTTATCTTCTTGATCAGCTTAAATGATTAAAAGGTTAAATCCCAACATTATGTAATAAAGGTTAACAGGGTTTAAGCACTAAGTTTGATAGCTTCAATCTTGTTCTTCCTTCATCAATGATCAATCTTTGAATGCAAGAAAATCTCTTTCAGCCATCCTCTATACGTGGTGTGGGACTAAAAACATAATTAGTCTCCAGATTACCAATTGTCAAAATATATCTGCAATGAACCATCCATATTAACTGTCCAATTTTCTACGTTTTACAAAAATAAAATGATACAATGTGTAACCTGCCTAAAGAACAAGAAAAAGGGAAAAAGATGAAAAGAGAACAGAAAATATGTAACAGGTGTTATATCCTTCCGTTCAGAACATTAATAGTATTTATCTTCTGAACCTTCACATTAAACAATTTCGTTGTCTCCACTCTCACTCAAAAAAGGGGTTGGCAACGAATTAAATTCAGCACTCCATTAAAATTCATTGGTTGTGAATCAATTTCCTCATCATATCTGAAGAGTGAAGACCACCTATTAACTAACATTCAAATGGCCCAAATTACAGTGATCCACAGTTGAATCCAGATGGAACTGTAGTGTCTTGAGTTCATTTTTAATATCATCTGATTAACTAAACTTCACAGTGAAGGATCGAGTTCTCATGGATTTCCACGGTGCTTCTCCAATGATAGGAGGATTTAATTTCCAAGATGTGGTGGGTAGTATCCAATAGTATTAATCATTAATTTATTAGAAAAATTTTACTTGTTTTCGGCAATCCAAAGTTTCTTTCCGATAAAGTTGAAATGAAACTAGAGGAATTAGAATAATGCTCCCTCCTGGAATTAAATGGCATCTTTGAATCAGCAAAGTAGTATGCATCAGAGTTGAAAAGTGAGCATCTGAATCCGGGCGGAGGGAGTAATAAGTTACGACAAAGGTAAAATAAAATTATGATCACAAAATGTCTTGTGCTTAAGTAAGCTTAGCATTGTCCATGGTTGTAACAGGAATCCACAAAGTTTTGATATTGACAATTATTGGACATCCAAGTTTGTGAATGTTTGGAATCCAAAAAGTAAAGGGGAAAAAGAAAGAGAAAGTCTAACTGTGGATAGCAAGAGGCCTAAGAAAATAAATTCACCAAAATACCTCATACGGAGAAAAACGCTCCAATACAGAAGACAGTACTTCATCCGAAAGAGAATAAGTCAAACGTGAAGTGACGCGGCCAATACCTTTTGCAGCAGACCATCGCACAACAGTGTCCTGCATTACCAAACATCAAGTTGAAAATTTGCAGAAGTTGTCTTAGTTTGATTTTGATTCTGAGAATCACTTTTCTCCCACTTATTTTCAACTACACATTCTCCAAAAAAATAAATTATTTTTCACAATTACACATAACTTTTCACTGTTTTTTAACCACTCGCGTTCACCCAAAAAATAAATAAATAAATCCTTTTCAAAGAATCCAAATCAAACAATGGCTAAATAAAGTTCATTATGAATGTCCTTGGTCTGAGAAAGTTAATATCCCAAATAAACGCTTATTTCCGATTCTTGGGAAAAGGCAGAAAATAAAGAAATGACTGTAGTAGTCCATATATGTTTATCAAAAGAAATGCTTTAAACTACTTTACATATAAATGTTGAGTAATTTGATCAGTAGAATCTCAACATCTAAACATACCGTATCTCTCAATCCTGACAGTAGAAGTTCAATAATCTCTTCCACAATTTCTGGAACATCCATATCTTCATCTTCAAGGGAGCTTTCGCTTTGATAGAAACTGGAAGTGTCCATGTTTACAGCATGATTTAACTGATTACTATCTCCTTTCACGTTTGAGGAGACATTCTCTCCAAGAATGCTGTTTCTACCCTACAGGGGATGCACAAATTCAAGAAAATAAAAAATTTTAAACTCTAACACAGCTCTTACAATTGAAAGAGCTTCCATACAAGGAACCCAATGTAATTAATGCCATACACACTTTCACATCCACTAGGATTGGGGAGGTGATGTAGGACAGAGTTCTATATACATTCACAAAGTAAGTTCCTCCAACAATATTACAATAGTTTTCCTAATAATTTCAGTAAAATAAATAAGAAGGGAAAAAATAGCTACAAGGAAGGTATTTAACTGGAGAAGAAAATAAATAAGTTCCCTCAGTAAAAATTCTATTGACATATCCATTTTATGTCTGTTGGAAGAATAATCCATAGCAAAACCAGTGACTTCTAGTCTTTGTGTAGGAGTGAATGTTGTTTTCCAATTTGGGCAAAAGGTACGAAGCTCACAACAGAGAAAATATTCTAAGTCTGTTTTCTTATGCTGAGGGTAAAGGATAAAAATCAATATCAGAGTACCACTTAGGAGTTCTGTAGTTCTCCATATTTCTTTCGACACTTTTCTAGTTATTTCCTCTATTGTTAATCATTTTAAATTTCAGGCTCAGTCCTCGGGGAATGCTAGATGTGATTAGCCTGTCTACTCTCATACTTATTTCGACCTTTTAAGTTGATCGAGCTATCATTAGACCTCTGTTTAAAATAATGAAGTCTCTTCATGAAGTCCTCATTTAGCAAACCCCATTTTTGTAACACTTTTGCGTTTCTTTTCCATGAGCGAAGTGAGGATGTACTTGAAGGAACACTGAAGAGCATTCACAGCAAAATATTCTGCAACTAGTTTTCTTCAGAGAAGTTTCTACTTATTTTGTTGTGCAAATCTCAAGAACATTAAAAGGCTAATTCAAAGAGTGTTCAGCAATCCCTTAAACAGCAAGCATGCATATCAGGTCATAGACAATATATATTTGAAAGAATTCAACTTATCTAACCACATAACACCATGTTGGAGAACGATGGGGCAGGCAAGTGAGCCCAATCCGCTGGGTAAGTTTTACTAGATACTTGCGAAGTAAAGGACTCCGAGCAGCAGAGTTGGACTTCATCAATGCTGATGTATCACTCCAAACAATGGGAACCATATTGAGCAATGCTTTTGTGTTACCAATCTGCAATTAAATAAAGTAGTCAATATACAGAAGCAGCATCTAAAGATACAGCAGTTGATGAAATATGACCTAATGAAACATGAAGCAGCTGAGAGGGTAAAGAAGGATAATTCACAAACATTGTTGGATATAAGTTTTTCAAAGAAATGAAGGTCCTCAATTCTCTCCTAGTTATGTTGCAGATGCTTTATGTACTCGCTCTCTGGTTGATCAGCATGTCATACTGCTATCCTCGATGATCTGGACCACATTTTAGGTGGATGGAGGGAGGCAGTTGCGGCCAATAGAGGGTGCTAAGCCAGTAAATCAATTTCATAGCTGTGTCAAAACTTCCAACCCCACCCAACATGCACAATTCTCCATTGCATCTCGTCATCTCCATGTTTCCATCTTTTCTCAGGTGCATGTTTATTAATTGTATTACCAGACATACTCACCTAACTTAAAAAGCAGCTGATTTTTAGTTTCTTGCTCAATTTTCTTTTTTTTTTTTCCCTTTTCTTTGATTTTTCATTTGACTATGAGCATGTTTGGTAATGCTTTTAAGTGCTTATAAGTTATGGTCATAAGGAATGTATGGATAACAAGTGGAGAGTAAACTATGGCTCCTACGAAATATGAGCATAGAAAGTATATTTGACTGGCATAAATTATAATTTAAGCTTTTCCAAACGTGCACTATGTTTGATATCGGGTCATCCACATTGGGACGTCAAATATTGGCAGGGTACTTTTGACTTCCTATACTAGTTTTTATTGGATATTTGAAAAGATTTATACAAAAGTACACTGGAAATATTCTTAAATCCCATATAGAAATTCAGTTCACTTGCAAAAGATTCCCAATGTTGGACAAGTTTCCTGAAATCAAATGGGGCCTTTATGCATTCTTTCTGCTAGGGATAAACCAGAGTGACCTAGTTTCTCTAACTTTCCAGCTATCTTTGTACTGGATCAGTCGGTATTCAGGCAGTATTCGAAAATTAAGCATGGTGCATAGAAGATTACATCTCAACTTTTGGTAAGCTATGCGGTAATATAATGTATCAATTTTGGGACCACATCTTATAATGATTCTCAAGAACAAGATGACATCACTCTAAAGATTACTCTCCCAACGATCATCTGCCTTCCTGAGGTGTGATTTCCATTCAATCAAGTGCTCTACAATGCAAGGATTATTTGAATTTCCATTTCAATTCTGCATTCTTTACTGGTTCAAGGTAACCTTAATCTAGCCTCCACGTGTATTAAGTTCAAGGTTAACAAATTATTAGTTAGCAACTTTTGTAAAAGGTAATTTGAGACATGTCAATAAATTATCATATCCCCACAACCTGTAATAAAACTGGCCCCCAACATATATTAGGTTCAAGGATGTGAAATTAATAGGTAGTAATTTTGTAAAGGTTAATTTGACAAATGTCAATCAATCATCATATCCCTCTATGATATTCTCTAGTCCTCCAGTTCAGTATATAATGAGCAAAAGCAGTTATTCATATCATGTTATAAAGGAAAGGGTCAAGAAAATTAAAAGAGAACCTTAAAAATGGCAGCTAGAGCTTCAACTGCACCTAATAATCGAAAATGATCAATGACATTGTCCTCCACAGAAGATAAAATTTCGTGCGTCCAATCAATAAAGCTGAAAGAAAATAAACAGAACTAAATGAACAAGTTTAAACATAATATATAATAACAAGTTTGTAAATTAAGTTCTAACATTTGAGAATGACTTAAAATAGTTTAATTTAGCCCATGTTTTTTTTTTTTTTTTTTTT